GTGGCAGAGTCTTAACTTTGATAAAGAATATCTCTTTGGTTTTGAGACTTTAGTCTTTGCAACTTCAGGGATCTTATCTATGCACAATCAGCTTGTAACACTCCAAAGAGAAAGAAAAACTTGAAATCGCATCATATGACCCCTTTAACCCTACTGTTAGACCTACCTGAAAAACGAAGCAGTAATTTATTTAATTCGAAGGCCTGTCGTTATTTTTTATTTGTGCTATCATTATTAATTTCTTTATTTGTTCTTATTTTATTACTGACTGCTTACTTGTCATTTTTTATTCAATTCAAAGTTTGAAATGAGAAAGAAAAACTTGAAATCGCATCATATGACCCCTTTAACCCTACTGTTAGACCTACCTGAAAAACGAAGCAGTAATTTATTTAATTCGAAGGCCTGTCGTTATTTTTTATTTGTGCTATCATTATTAATTTCTTTATTTGTTCTTATTTTATTACTGACTGCTTACTTGTCATTTTTTATTCAATTCAAAGTTTGAAATCAAGTTATCTCGTGCTACTGCACCAAAATTACCCCACTGTAAAATGAATAAAACACTGAATGAGCAAAAATTTGTGAGATAGTTATAATGGTAATTAAATAATGTTTACATATGTATAAAATCCTACATTAAAATCTGTCATATAAATTGGTCTCTTCAATAAAAATTAGCCTACTGATTGCCACCATTGATGGACACATTTTTTTAATAATATTAAAAATATTTGTATGACATTATATTCTCCAGCTCTTCCCTGTTGTACCCGAATATCTATACTTTTCAAATTATCAATTTGAAGTTAGAAATTCAAATATTGTGACAAAATAAGATTTGTAGGGTGCCACAAGTTTGTTAAAATTTCCGAAGGGTGCCGCGACTAAAAAAAGGTTGGGAAACACTGGTATAGGGAACTAAATGCTTGTTCGGGGGTGTTTTGTCAAAATTGGTTTGGTCTGGCAAACTAATTTTTGACTGTAGATCAAAACATTACTATTATTGTTGTTATTATTATTC